TTTATGCCACTTTTATATTTTTTATGTTTAGCGAGCCGATAATTTCAACTGAAGAGTATATCTCTATTGATGAAGAGCGTGCTGACCAAAACACGAAGCATGTATTACTAACTGCAGAGAATTTTATGCGTGGAAATCTTCAATTGAAGCTTCACATACACATCAAATAAAGGAGATAATTCAACTGCTGCTATCACTTCGACCGCATTTCCCTCAATTCGTATCTAATTAGACAAGACGATGAGTGGCAATGAGTTAGCGAAATATGTAGTAGTAGTTGTCAATAGCGATAACATGACTTAAGGCAAGTCAACTAACAGCATAACCAAAGCATTTCCATACGAATGGCCGAGGAAACATTAATCATTTAGAGCAGAAACTGCAAACAGCCAAAAGCAGACTACTAAATCCTTGCAACACTACATTGCTATATCATTAGTGAACAAGGAGATATGACAACAAACCGCTATTACAACAACGCCAACTATGCAAATGGAAAGCAACAAAGCAGCACGCAGCCGCTGAGCTACAAAGTCCTTAAGATAGACAAATTGCTAGACTGGTAAGGAGATAAGGCCAGCTGGAGCAAGGAAATAGAAACAGACAGACACATATACATAGCTATGCTATATGCAGTATGACAGCAAGGGTAGAACTCACCGAGTGCAAGACACACACGACGAATTTTCGAAATGGAAATTGCGCTAAATCGTTAAGAAGCATGAATGGCAAAGCAGCTGTGGAATAAAAGCGTTCAAACCGCCAAAAAAAGACTTTACAATCTTGTTAAATTTAATCTGTTGCTGTTCTCACTGTTGCCACTGTCAGTCCATATGCCCCAAACCACGATTTAACTTCACGCGCAACACGAAGCTGAAAGGCAGAAGGAGTGTGAGTGAGCAGCGAGTGTGGAAAAAGTGAAGTCGAAAAAACAAAGCTTGGGCGAGAGACTTTTTTTACTAGCTTGCGAATGCGGTGTGGTCGAAGACAAAAACGAATGATGCTGCAAGGACGCTGACGTTGATGAGTATGCTGATAGTGTTGACAAGAGCAACAACGCCAACAATGGCGGTCATGGAAACCGCTAAGTAGTTGAAAAAACGCGCATGAAGAGTCGCCGGCGCATATAAATACGGGAATGCTAAGACATGGCTAATTGACTTTCTGCTAGTGCACACATATATAGGTATATATATATATATATATATATATTATACATGCATATTCTAACAGTCGCAAGCAACCCGTTTCAGTTGAATGGTTTAAGGGTATAGGAAAAAATCGCGCAACTTGCAGGCATTAGCGTAGAGTCATAATGAAAAGAAAGTCGATAGAATAGATAAAGAGGAAATATGGTAGGAAAAAGTCTTACACGCACACTCAAGAAAAAATAGAAAGTAAGCTACGGCGACCGCTGAAATGAAGCCAATACCATGCGCCGGAAGTGGCTGCATTAAAAAAGCATTAAACGTGCGCTGGCCCGGCTGGCAATATTTGATGAGCAAATTGTCTCAGAGTGCTGTGGGGCATAGAGAAATCAATGCAGGCAGACAATGCTCAAGTTTGTTTAAAAATAAGGAAGCAAAAAAAAAAAAAATTGGTTTACTTAAATATTTGCCGCGCTAAAAATTTTACTTTTCATTAGAAGAGCTTTCTGGAAAAGCGGAGAGCGCCAGGGAATACGTGTGAAAAAGGTCCGCGATATACTTCAACGTTTATTATTTAATACAAGGTTTTAACACCATTACAGATTGATCGTTCTTCTAGATATTTGTATTGAAAAACTTTATTTTAACTTACTGTAGCAATAAATGGTCTAGAAACTGATCCAAATGCTAATTGTATGTTATGTTATACATGCTCAAGCTCTATCCGTGACACAGCTAACTTTATCCTAGATAAGGATCCGTTCGTTCGTCCAATAATATCTTTTTAAAACAGAGCTTATTTTATTCCCAACATAATTGTATACAATGCGATTTCTAAACGCGTTAAAATTTTTTCTCAATCCACAAAAATAATCTCAAGGCTTCATACCAAAAAAACAAGAGCATAAATTTATGCTTTACTTCTACTTCAAGATAAATTTTAACGCCTTTCTGTTGAATAATCGCCAATTATTCTTTTGCTTATCATTCTCTATTATTTTATACCCTTACTTAGCCACTCCCTTCCACTGCATTGATTAGCCACAGCGATGCAGCGCATCTATATCGAACTGACGATAACCTCTACAAAAATTGATACAATTTTCAATACACGAAACGCAAAACACAATTCGCTATGCGTCAAGCGCGCCTAGTGTCTATTTAGTGACTATCGTGTGGTGTCCAGCGTTTTGCGTTGAGCGCCTAAAATGCGGCAACACAATGTTCGAAGTATCCTTGCGGCAGCAGTTCATTTAAAATTCTATGCCACAACTCGTTTGATTCGTTTCGAATCATCAATTGCCACAGAAATATTTCAAGCACAAGCACAAATACACACTCACATACATACATACACCGTAATAATCCCAGCAGACTAGCCTCTGTAAATATATATCTACTAAATACACAAGTTACTCGCCCAATACCTCAGGCTAGAGATGTTGCTGTCGATTGCCGCCGATACGGTTGGAAATTACCGTTCAAATTGTGTGCGGCAAGGCGTTGGAGAGGAGGGAGAACTTTTTGCTGCAGCAAGTGTAGCAATCGAATGCGGTCTTTGAAGTCTTATCTCTGTACTTGCGGTTAGTTGCTAGGCGTCATTTTGCACTCAAGTAAGAAATATTCACAAATCACTCAGGCATTTTGCCACCGACTTTGATGAGAAAAGTAATATTGGATTTTTTTTTCATCTGCAAGAAATAATTGTTCGTTGTAATTGCGTTTTGATGAAGTGGTGCAATGGGTTGAACTTAGGACCTAGTTGTTATTTTAAACAAACTTTTAATTTTAGGGCATAATTTACTTACGACCTCTGTTGAAAACTACTAGAAGTGCAAAAACTCACTAAAATAAATGCGCCACCAGCATTAAATTGCAACCAAGATGGTTTGGAAGGACTTTATAGGAGCAGGTATAAAAATTTGATAATGGGCCTGCCACCGCCAACCTTTAGGTGAAATCCTATATCCCAGGAACCAACCGATTTCAACTAAGCTTGGTGTGAGGTTACCCAAACATTCCTGAATACTCCCATATAATACAACTTTAAATTTCATTCTCTCACTTCTAGTACACAAATCAGACAACTATGAAGTTATCAGAATAAAACTTTGTTCGAGATATTTCATCTTCATTGCGTAAACGGACAGTAACTTTTCAAGCAGCCAGATATCGAATATGCAGACCCCAGTGCATACGATGTTTTACCGAAAATATTCGAAAATCCGTCAAGGCTAGTATTGAAAATCGGGAATAATACTTATATGATGCCAACATGCCCTTTGCCATGTACCAAAAATTAGTAAAATCGGCTCAATACTTCTCTTAGCCCCTTTGAACCTAATATAAATATTTTCAAACATCCGCTTGACTTCATATTTGATATATTCGTCATTCTGAGAGTTTTCTTAGTAAAAGCAAAGAACATCTATTTCTCTGATTTCTAGTAAGGTATACTTAAACTGGTTATAATCGGATCAAAATATTCCCTTGCTCTTATATACCTTATATAACAAAATTTATAAGAATTGTATAAGAATTTCAAACTTCTGCTTTATATCGTATAAATGAGTCAATATGTAAAATATCTCTAGAAAATTAAGTTGACTTATTGCTTGGTAGATAAAAATGTGTGTAATCGGTTCATTGCTTACTTAATTAAACGTTCCTTGTATGGTAAAAATATTGTTTTTCACTATTGCAGTTGACTTCTTGCCGAATATATTGACCTATGTGTGAGTTAGCTTCGAAAGAGTGTGAGTGGAAAAAAATGTAAAATTTTTCAACTTTCGAAGGACTTCTTACTGTAAATACCTGTAAGTATCTGCTTCACTTAATCAATAAAAAAAAGCGAAAATATTTAGTGATTTGTGAAATCAATTAAAATATCTAATCTAAACGTTTTTGTTTTAAGCCTAAAGGTAGGCAACAAAATGAATCGAAAATGAAAATTTTAATTTTCTGCTAAGCTTTTTAAAAGATGCATATTTAATACAATAAAATCAAGTTTTCTTTGCCATAAGCTGAGCCAAATTATCAACTTAATCCATCCATATAAAATCGCAATTCATACCATATTTATATTATCTCAGTTGTGTTAATTTTCTATCAGTAATTCTAAACAAACAAATCATCTAAATGTGTGTCAAAAGCAAAGCATAAAGCATAAGGAGAATATAACAAACATGAATCACATTTTTACGCTCTGCACAGTAGAGCATGAGTAGGCGTGACACTTGCTTTAATCCGGGGATTAGTAGACCAACGTAGTGGTGCACCTTAGTTACATATTTGCACAGAAGCAATGAAGGATACTCATATTTATTATTTATTATTTCTTGTATTTTTTTTTTTTTTTTTTTTTGTTTTTGTGAAATAATCTACGCTGCAGATGAGCAAAGCATTTGTATTAAGTGATTAAATTTTTATGTAGCACACTGTTTGCCTTTGAGCATATTGAGAAAAAATATTTGAAAAGGATATAACAGCAGTCTAAGTCAAATAGCAGGTGGAGTAAGTTATTTATTAGAAATATTTCATTTTGATCTCTTCTCGCTTTGCTTATAAGCCCAAGGAAGTAGTTTTAATCACGTGCTTGTGATAATTTACTGCCTTTACAAAAATAATTTCCTTTGAGTGGAATAAACAATGCGAAGCATAATAATACTGTGCAACAAGATACATTGCTGAAGTTAGTCCGTAGCAATTCGAACGCCAATAAGGCCATTTTGAGATCTGTATCTTGTTATACTAATAGTTGCAAATAATCTCTTCAGGTCTTCAAAGTCTTAGACGAGTATAATTGACAAAAAAAGGAAGAGGTTATTTGACAAAGTACATTTATCTCATGAGTCATGACTCTTGACGAAATCTTGGTATACGTACAAATTTGAGAACTATCGCTAACTAACTAACGACGCATAAGTATATGGCATACGTTCTCTTGACTTCTGCTATTTAACTTTCGTCGAACATAACAAAATCGTGGTATAAATGAGTAGAGATGTTTATTTAATATTTTCAGTTTGATCATAACAACAATACTATTCGTATTCAACGTTTGAAAATACGCACACAAATGCAGCTTCAATGCACATTTATATCATAATTTTATCAAGTTATTAGAGAGAGAAATAGAAGCAGTAAAGAGCGAGCAAAGAGCGCATTAAGACTTCTGCTTAGTTGAGGTAAATTGATGACAAAGTTGTCCAAGAGTTTGTATTAAGCAAAGAGTAGTTCTGATATTGAGAAATATAGAAATTGTAAAAATGATCTCTATAAGTAGTTAAGCAAAGAGTAGTTTTGATATTGAGAAATATAGAAATTGTAAAAATGGTCTCTATAAGTGGTCTACCTTAAAGGTCCTAATTGATCGTTAACCTCTATATACGACCTTTACAATCAAAACACTTATCTGCTAGCTGCTGGCCGAATTCATTAATAATCATTTATAATTATGTTATTTATATTTTTGCTTTTGGGTTTTTTTAATCGAAATCTTATAGCACTTAAGATATAAGAGTGATAAGATAACTGTGAGTTATGTGTTATATGGCACACTTTCATGAATATATACGATTAATTTTACGATTTTCGAGAGCAAGATATTACTAAAATTTGCTCTCTCTAATATTTGTTATACTTTTGCTTTCAGCCTTCGCTAGTCCAGCCCTTTTTGTGGAACTTTGTTGAATGAGCTATAAAAGTCGTATGCCAATTCATAGACAAGTCAGTCTAATTCAACTTCTCAGCCGTAAAGAACGGTTTTAAATAGTCTATACATCGCAAAAATCATAGAAATGGAACGTTGGCTGAATCGTGTTGCTGTGGTCACTGGCGCTAGTTCGGGTATTGGCGCAGCTATTGTGAAATATCTGGCTAATAACGGTATGGTGACAGTCGGCTTGGCACGGCGCAATGAACGTATCGAAGCACTGCGCGATGAAGTGAAAGGCGACGCAAAAAAACGCATACATGCAATTAAATGTGATATACGAGATGAAGCTAATGTGATAGCTGTCTTCAAAGAGATCGAAAGCAAGTATGGACCGGTAGCTGTGCTGGTAAACAATGCCGGCGTAGCACGTCATAGTGATTTGTTGAAAGAGGGCAACTCACAAGATATACGCGATGTGATCGATACAAATGTTTACGGTATTGTGTGGAGCACGCGTGAGGCTTTCCGTTCGATGAAGGCTCAAGGTGTTGATGGTCATGTCTTCCTCATCAATAGTATAGCTGGGCATATTATACCGAATATACCGAATATTTCTTTAAATATTTATCCATCTTCAAAGCATGCGGTCACCGTTTTGACTGAGATCTACCGTCAGGAGCTTCTGAATAACAAAACAAAAATTAAGATTACTGTAAGTTGTGTGCACTGTGTTGAGCTTAATGTGACTATTGTTTGTATTCAATTTTGATTTGTTGAATTTGCAGAGCCTTAGTCCCGGTGCTGTAAAAACCGAAATTATGGGCGTTGATCCGGAGTTTGCAAAAGATATAGTATTTTTGACTCCCGAAGATATCGCTGATGCGTTGATCTATTGTCTACAGACACCCCCGAATGTGCAGGTTTGTCATCCCGTATATTAAGTCTGTGTGTATAGTGAAAAATTTATGTGTTTTTTGTTTATAATTTTCCAGATTCACGAATTAACCATAAAACCACTCGGTGAAAACTTCTAAGATTGCTCGTATTGAAATAGGAATTAAATTCTTATATATTTGTTAAACAAGAAAATATAAAATAATAAAACGAATTCAAAAGTTATTACTAATTATTCAGACAAAATTTTGTGACTCTCAATTAATGGGAATTCGGTATAATAAGAGTTTCTACAACTTTTTCGCTTTCCACAATTGTCAACAGTAAGTAATATTATTTTAGGTCTTCAGTGCAGAAACTATTTCACAACCGGCTTTAATGAGATGATAACCATTTTAAGACACTTTTATGTTTCGACGTCGATGTGTTTATGTTTAAGGATGGGATTTTTCGGGACTAGCTTTCAGCGGACTATTTTAATTAAATACGATTTGTGGCTTTTTTACTATATTTAAGGCTTATATGCAGTTAAATACTCCCATGCCTACTTCCGAAATGAGCTCTTTTAAAAAATTTAACTATTTGAGAACAATTTATTGGGAACTACCCATAATTGGCATCAGTAGTTGAAACTAATTTAGGTCTTTAATGGAGAAACTATTTCGCAACTTCCGTCTTTAATGATGAACTATTTCGGGATTAGTTATGGACAACTAGTAAGTTATTATTTCGGGACTAGCTTGGAATTATTTGTAAGTAGGTTGATAACCATTTTGTGACATTTTTCGGTTTCGGGAGCAGAAGGGTATTTTGTCGGGATTAGCTTTAAAAATTTTCGTACCATTTTAAAAGGATTTACAATCTTTTATGGCTGTTTACATTAAAATTCAAGATGATGTGTGGCTTTTTATTATATTTAACGATTAATAAGCTGATTCCGATCGTTCAATTTGTATGGCAGCTATATGCTTAGTTATAGTTCTTATAGTTCTCCGATCTAACCAATTTCTTCAGTGCAGACATTATTTAATAACCGTCCTGAATGAGATGACAACCATTTTGTGACAATTTTGAGTTTCGGGATCAGAATGGCATTTTATCGGGATTAGCTTTAAACAATTTCGGTTGAAGACGATTTGTGGGTTTTTATAACATTTATGGATTATGAATATGAAGGTTGTACAACTTGATTACATTGTAATTAATTTGATTTGAATATTGAATAAAAAGCATTGATGTGCTTATTTGAGTATCTGATAAATTTTTACTTTACTTAGAGAGAGTTAAAGTAGAGAAATTCTAAAAATTCTCTGAATTAATGAAAATGTTGAATGACTGGCATTTATTTTTTGCCGTTAAGAGCTTCGATTGAAAAGATAATAATATATTTCGCAATGTGTTGCTTACGTAACACAACAACTGCGCTAAGGTCAATTTAGTGGATCGTGCAAAAAATTATTCAAATAATATTGTAATTGGGTCGTAAATCAACACTTGAGCACAAAAATCCTATATTATGTTCATTTCTTCATAATATACCACTTTGGTGAGTGACCACAACTCTTCTTTTTTACTTCAGCATTATATAAGGTAAGTAATGCCGTTCTGAGTCTTTTCTCGAAGTTTGGTAATCACAACAGTTTGGTGTTTTTTTTTCTATAATGAGCCCCAAAATACCATATCTTGTGCGCAGTGAAGGCCTCTTCGTTGCTGCCAAACTTTGTAGATGGTCTTTATTAATGCTTCTGAAATAATTGTGATCAGCCGTACTAAAGTACCGAAGATCAAACCAGGTTCGTTGTGTTATTGCGTCTACGATAAGCTAACATGAAAATATATGTAGATTACTCATCTCATTAAGAAAAAGTAAATTTTATTTTTAAATTAAAAACAAATTTTACGATTGTCTCTGTTTATATTTATTCCCAAAGAAAATTTCTTTCCTGAATTATAAAGTCCTCGAATATTTTTATGGCTAGACTATAGAGATCCGACCCCTAAGGTGATTCAGTTTGAGATAAAGATTACGAAAGTTACTTGGTGTGCATAATCAAGTGAAATGCATACTTACAAATGAATTGAAAGCTTAATTGTCTTTTGTTGACGGGAAATTTTTAAGCAAACAAGATGTTGTAATAATTATACGACAGCTAAATGCGATAATGTATTGTAATCCAGAGAGATCCGTTGTGCCTAACCGAGATCATTGCTCGCTTAATTCAAAAATTATGAAATTATAATATATAATTAAATTATTAAAGAAAAAATGTGTTGTTTGCAATAAATCTTGGTGGCGTTTGCAGGCAGTAAATCAAGGCATCGGCAATATCGTCGGCACTCAGGCGTGAGAAGTCTTTAAGTTCTTCGCGCATGTGCTTTGTCATAATATCAGTCTCAACGAAACCGGGACTAAAACCAAGAGAAAAGCAGAAGGCATTTCATATATTTTTACCGTAACTTTCACTTTAGTATGCTCATTGTTGAACTCTCGCCGATAAACTTCGGTTAATGCCGTTATAGCATGCTTAGTCGGTGCATATATGCTCATTGGTACATTCGCTGCAACAACCTGATAGAATAGAATAGATAAGGGTAGAGGTCTGCACCGCGACCTATGGTCTATTGTGCCCTCCCCTAGGTCACAGCGACTCATCTAGCCCCAGCATATTGATGAAATCCAATATACTGCAAGGTGATAGTGAGGCGATCGTTGTTCATCAGGAAGACATGCCCAGCACCACCATGCGTCTTCGTCGAACGGAATGCCTCGCGTGTGGCATAAACCACGCCTGATATATTATCCTGTATGTTGCCTTGATGTTTACTGAATAAAAAAAAAAAAATTTTATATATATTAATTTTGAAAATTAAAGAAATATATATTTTACCAAAAATTTTTTAAAAATTTATAAAGAGAATTTAACTAAAAATGTATAAAGCATATTTAAAAAAATTATTTTTAATTTATTTATAATTGTTAAAAAATATATTTAAATTTTTGGTCTAAAGTTATTTCTTAAAATTTTATTTAAGAAGGTATTATTAAAATAAATGAATACTTTCTAATTTATTTTTGAACTAATAATAAATACATTTTCTTAACTTTCTAATTTTATCATTTTATAAAAAATTTAGTTATTAATAAAAAATATTTCAAAACTTTATATTTTGAATTATTAAATTAATATTTTTAAATTTTCTTAACTATTAATTATAAGTTATTTTTACCAACTTGCTGATTTTACATATTTTTTTTATTATTCATAAAGAAAATTTAAACTTTCCTTTACTACTTTTATTATTTTTAATAAAAAAATTAATGTAATAAAATTTAAAATAATTATTATTTATATTTTATTTTTATACAAATTGTAATACTTTTTATTTTTAAATAATTTTTTTATATTCTTTTGTTTTAGTTGTAATGTTTTACTACTTTTTTAGTACATACTTATATGACCAGTTTTTAGTGTCATTTTATTTTTTTATTAAGTTAATTTGATTAAAAGTTTATTTTTAGTTTTTAGTCTTAATTAATTAAGGTTTTAATTTTTTTTTTTTAATTTTTTAATAAAAATATATATTTGTTTCAACTTATTAAATTTGTGATTTTCATTTAATTTTTTTTAATAATTCATTATTTTTAATTCTTGTGCTTTTTTTTAAATAAATTTATTTTCTAATAAATTAATTGAGGTTTTTACTTTTGGCTTATAGTTTTCACAATTTACAATTTACACAAACATTAACTTAAAATTGTTTTATATACTTTCATTAACTGCATTTGTTTTCAAAGCCACATAACATCAGTTTACACTTCGTTGGGCAACTAAAAGATTCTTTCGTTTCTAATATCGTATTTATATCATATATTAAGTCGTTATTAACCTGTAAGCATTAGTTCGTTATGCAATAGAATATGCAAAAGCTCTACTTGTTGTTGTTGTTCTGACAATAGAAAAAAAACATGTATAATTGCCGGAAAGCGCGATCGTTAATAATATAGTGAAGTTGAATGACAATATAATGAATGAGAACAGTCGTATATCAATATGTATAATATGTCTTCAGAGTTGCCATTGCCAAAATTTGTTACGAACATGACTATTTCTGCAGCTGAACAATATTTGTTTAAAAACCAAAAATTGAGAATATTCTTTTATCGATTAGTGATGAACATTTCTGCAAATAAAAAATACTTCTTTTTTTTTTTAAATTAGTATAAAAAAATTAAAAAATATATAAAATATAATATTTGTTTGAAAGTTAAGAATAAAAACTATTTTATGATTAATCGATTAAAAAATTTATTACCAACAAGACCATTTCTGAATCTGAAAATTTTTTACACTTTTTTTTTTGAAATTAGTATAAAGTAGTGAAAATAATAGTAAAATATTTGTATAAAATTTATTTGTTATATTCTTTTTTTTGCAATTAAAATAAACAGTATTTTTTATCGATTAATGGCTTGAGAATCGAAAAGTGTTATAACTATCTTTATAAAAAAGAATATATTTTTAAATAAACAGTTATACATTATTGCTACAGCTTAAGCACTCGCTTTCGAAACACCTGTTACATACATTAAGTTTAGGGCGGGTCCAAAAAAAAAAACATTTATGTTGCTTGCAATCTGAAAAATACGTTCTTAGAAATCGCTAAGAAAGCCTCTTCAAGTATGTGCTCTTACTTGTAACGGGAAGGTCCTCCAACTTACAGCTTTCTATTTGTTTCTTATTATCAGATAGAAAAATTCAAATTTCGCTTCCAACTATTGCGATTTCACCTAACCGTTTAAAAGATATTAGAGGTTGAAGTTTGATTAGTTTAAAGCAGTTGTTTTTCTAATGAATTTTATAACTCAATGAAAAGAAATTAAAATTATTATAAAACAGAAAACGCATAGTTTTGTAGAAAATTTACGGCTCTACGAAATGGTCTCGCATAATTTTTCGTTTTCTTAACCCACCCTTATGCATATAGTACATATTGTTAGAGACGAATAAGTTTAACTATTCGAAGTTTTTTAACGCCTGACTACTCATTAGCCTACAAGCGAGAAGCTTAATACTTTATACTGTACCTTATGTATACTATATATTATATATGGTATATAGCAAGCAACGTCTGTTAAATTACAATATGTATAGGCATATTTCTAATGCTGATTTATTACAGTGTTATTTATCTTAATTTTTTTAATTTTCATTCCTTTCACGTCGGATTAAATAAAGGTAGCTAAGTTGATACGTATGGTGTTTTTATTATTTATGTATATTGTAATTATAGCGTGACTTAGCAAAACATAAATCATGCAAGCGGTGACGTAAATTCGTTGACATACGTGCGGAATTCGAAAAAGGATAAATATGTCGCTATTTCTTTCGAAGAAACCTCCCTGTTAATTCATATATAGTATATCTTCATATTCAAGAAGATCTCCGTTGCTACGGCTGACGCAAAATCGATCTATATATGCGAATTATTTAAATAAAATCTTGTGAATATGCTTTTCTAACCTACAAAGTTGCTTGGTGCTAAGTTGGATAACATCGGTTTACACCTTCTATTGGTTATTACGATACTCGTATCTCTATCCTCCAATATTATATAATGCTTGGAATTATAAAGGAATTAAACTTAATAAACATGATAATTTTCTTTATGAATTATAAAGGAATTAAACTTACTAAACATGAGCTGAAATATTTTTTCTTCAGTATACTTTCGATTAATGCCAAAAACATTGAGTGAATATAGTCAATAGTTAAATCTCACATTCTTGTTAATATTTATCAATCTGCTGGTGCTTAAGTCTAGGATGACTTCATATTTCACCGAACAGTTCGCTGCTTGATTTAATTGAGAGTGGCACGTGATTAACGGCATTGTTGGAGTGTGTACTGACATACCTATAAATCAATTAGGAATTAATGCTTAACTTACTAAGCAATCTACCTTAGTGAGTGGTCTGTTTTTGTCGGAATCATTGAATGACATAGCGAATTTTTTTCTACGGTTTTTTATTTTTTTGATTAAAAACCCAAATGGTTTGGACATTTTACATTTCTGTTGTTGCCTGCTTCTAGCTTTGCGATTTTATTGCAAAATATGCGGCAAAATTATCAAAGACGAATATCTATTATAAAAGTCACTTATATTTCGGAAATAGGAGTTTATATTGATTAATTTATCAACTAACAAATTAAGGAGATGAAATTTTGTAGAATATTTGCTCGTTGCTCGTAAAAGATAGGCTATAAAAATCTTGAAAATCGGATTCTTCAACTGATCATTCAAAAATAGAGCTTTTCATTATAACTCATTGATATAAGAAGCTACTAATATAAAATTTTGTAATATATCTACTTTTCATCGTTAAAAACAGACTACTAATTATCAGCTAAATCGAACGACTACAACATAAAGCTGTCATACAACTGATGTTTCAAAAATAGGGTTTTTTTGTTAAGCAGTTACTTATCATTAGTTGTAGGTAAGTAGTAAAAATTATCAAAATTGGATCACTACAACACAAAGCTGCCATACAATTGTTGGTTCAAAAACATATTTTTCTAAAATAACTTTTGAAATTAGAAATTTATTAAGACAAAATTTTGCTAATTGTTTACTAGTGATTGGTAGAAGGTGGATAGTAAAAATCAAAGAGGTCTCATACCTATGACATATAGCTGTAACACAACTAGTTGTGCAGCTTTTTGGAAATATCTGAAATACACTAGGTTCTTCAGTTTTCATTTTAACATTTGTTAATGCATAAATATTTCAAACAAAAATGTTATATTAAGAGCCTAATTGTGTCGATTGTACTTAACATTAAATAAAAGACATTTTAGACACTTAATAATTTTTTTTTTTTAAATCATGTCACTCTTTTTGGAAAACCCTGTATATGCCCAAAAAAATTCACTTGCCTTTCAACAATTTTGCCAGTCATCATGTATAGGCAGATATGGATACATGTATGTATGCACGTATGTATAAATGTATATATTGTATGTTTGTGCTTACAGCGGCATATTCGAATGCGTAGTATGCCTAAGCAGTATTCTTGCGAGAGAGCCTAAATATAACCTGATTGCTATGAAATTATTCTACTATCTGTACTTGAGTAGTGTATTGGTTTTTTTGATGATAGGGCAATTAGGTAAATAAAAATAAACAGATATTTTCATATGGATGAGTCAAGTGACAATTGATCTGTTTTAGTCTAATGGAGTGAGAGAGTGATTTATGTTAGTGAGTTGTTAGTTATACTCGTAGTAACTACATAAATATCTACAAGTATATAGCTACATATATGCAATCATTCAAACTACTTTGTTGTATAAACAAACGAAATTTAAGCTAATTGACTGTCAAATATATGTATATATATAGGTATATACTTCTGCATAAAATTATATATGTATATGTATATATGTATTGAAAACAAACATTCCTTTGCCGTATCGGGGAGCGACGCTAATTAATTTTGTTGCTCACAGCGTACGGTCGAGCGAATTGCTAAGTTTACGTTATAATTTTGAATGTTATCTCAACCAAACCTGTATGCTAAATATATAATATATATTTTGTATATATATATAATATATACTTTGTTTTTTAAGTGCGTGTTTATTTTTAGTAACTGAATATTGATTAGTTGCGGGCAGAACGCAGACATATATGGATAATATTATAGCCAATGTGCCTTACATAAACAAACCGTGTACATTATGTATAAATAAAAGGTAGCGCTTAATTGATGTACGTAATGGTCCACTGGCGTTTCAATATGAATCCAGTCTAAATATCTAACATTATATAAATTGTTTAATAAGGAGAAAATTATCTACCCTGTGAACGTTATAGTCAACTAGCTCTTAATCAATCTACTTTATAGTCTATTAGCGCATAATTACAAGTACAACTCCATTAGCGGAAAATTACTGTTAAATTTACGAATAAGCAAAAATAACGGTCCACTGATCTTCTGTCAATGCATTCCAGAGTTGGTCTTAATTTAATCATTTATCTTAATTTAGACAATTCGTTAATTGACTCAATTTAAACCTAACTTGAAACAATTATTAATGTGTTCTTTCTAAAGCTGACAAGAGTTATGTAGGAGGCAACCTGAAACTTAGTGAATTACTCTTTTATTGAATTTCTTTTCGAATTAAGTTATAAAAATTAAATTTTGCTTTCTAGAAAGTTTAAAGAATTAATTTATATTAAATTACTTTTAACAGTTGAGATTTTATTCACCTCCAAGCAGTTGTTGTGCATAAAACGTACTTTTTTGTTGAATTGTTAATGATTGTGTATGCTTAATTGAGCATGTCACAAAGTCGACTCAATTTACAACTTAATTTTGTTAGTTAATTGCGTTGTTTCAACGAAAGTATAAATTAAATGTAGTAGTAAATTATTTTTTTTTTTAACAAACAATATGTTTTATTACATAATAAAGTTAATTAAGTAAATTGACTATTTGCGAACTTAGTTGATTTTTTAGTAATTTACTAAAGATATTCGAAAACAATAGCAATGGAATGCATAAGAAATATCGCTGATAAGATAGAAGAAACATACACATAGCGATATTTTTTAGTGCTAGTTAATTGCTAGCAAAAATTTGGATAGGATAGGAATAACAATAGGAATTCGAACTTATACTTGATACTTAAATCTTTAATACTTGAGACTCCTGCGTTTTCACTGTGCAATATTTGTATGCAAATCAGAAGATATTTATCTCGGTATATATTTAATTTGCTTACGTGTGCAGTAATCTGGCGTCACCCAATTCTTCCGCGGCTTTATCATTTTATAACTTTTATATATGCTTAATTTTTTACTTGGGAGCGCCTGCAAAGAGCTCGCCATTATAAATTAAGCTGCAGAGTTCGCTGACTTTTAATTTTTGTCAAGAAGCATACGCTCGACAGCGCATACCAGACTGCATAAAGCGATTCGCAAGATTACAACTGTGTCGATACTCGACGTGTGTAAACCCAAGTGAAGATGGAACGCTGGCTGGGACGCGTAGCCGTGGTGACCGGCGCCAGTTCGGGCATTGGTGCGGCCTGTGCGATGTACCTCGTCGATAATGGCATGACTGTAGTAGGCTTAGCGCGACGCAAGGAACGCATTGAAGCCTTACGTGAAGCGATGAAACCAGAAGCCGGTCAACGACTGCATGCTATACAATGTGATGTGGGTAAGGAGCAGGAAATTGTAGATGCCTTCAAGCAGATCGAGTCGGAATTTGGTCCGGTAGCGGTGCTGGTGAACAATGCGGGCATAATGCGTGGCAGCGATTTGGTGGATGAAGATAACTCTAACGATTTACGTGATACGATCGATACGAATGTGTTGGGCGTGGCATATTGTACACGCGAAGCATTTCGTACGATGCGTGAACATGGTGGAGATGGACATGTATTCTTGATTAACAGCATTGCGGGTCATAAAATCACAAACGTACCGGGTTTGTCGTGGAATTTGTATCCATCTTCGAAATATGCTGTGACCGCTATGACGGAGGTTTACCGACAGGAATTCTTGAAATACAACACCAAGATCAAAGTGACGGTGAGTTTTTCGAAAAGTTGGCCGAGACATTTTTGTGATCATATGAGCCTTTTGTGGTTTACAGAGTATTAGTCCCGGCGGCGTGCTTACAGAGATTTTACCAGCGCATCTTTTACCGGAAGACAAAACCGGTTTACCGTTGCTTAAGCCCGAAGATGTGGCCGATGCATTATTGTATTGTCTACAGACACCGCCACACGTGCAGGTGCGTTGAAAAATGTTTCAGAATTTGCTTAAGCATATATTTTTTGCTAATGTTTCTTATTGCTTAACACAAATATTCATAATTTTTGTAATATTTGTAAAAAACGATTTTTAAGCAATTTCAAAATTTTAACTATCATTAGAAAAAAAATAAAATATATGTAGAGTAAAATATTGAAAAGCAAAAAAATTGTTAATCAGTAAAAAATATTTTTTATTGAATTAATATACAAATATTATATCTTATGTTTTTAGTCATGAAATAAAAAATTTTTAAGTTTGAATTTCCATTAAAAATTTTTATTATTTATATATTTTTTTTCCAGATTCATGAGCTGACTATAAAACCATTGGGCGAACCAGTCTAAATATTCAATCCAAATATGTACAACTGTTTGCAACAATCGAATACAAAGTCATACAGATAGTAGACAGATGTGACCACGGTGTACCATTAAAATGATAAAATTGTATTCTTGTCTATATTCGAATAAAACAATAAAATTGTACTCTTGTCTATATTCGAAATAAAAATGATCGAAAGTAAAAGTATTAGTGTAAATATGAAAGATTACGAAGCAAAATTTTTTTGTTTTGATATGAAGAGCGACATGAGAATGCAGAAATACGACACGCAGAAGAGAGAAAAAGCAGAACAACAAAAAGTGAGAGAACAAAACAACCGCGAGAGAGAGAGAGAGAGAGAAAGAGAGAGAGAGGGAATTAAATGGCAAATGAGTAATAACTAAATATTTAATACTGAAAATAAGATATTTTCGACTGAGTACGAGAAGAGCTACGAAGCTAAGAAAAAAGTTGTTTAAAGTCTAATTATAAATTATGAAATAAAAATTTAAATTAAAAGTTGATTTTATAAAAGCAAATTTTTTAAAACACTAAGCAAATAAAAACAAAATTAACTAAATAAATTTCAAATATTTAGACAAAAATAATTTAGCCGATTTTAGATAATAGTTTCCATATAAAAAAAAATTTAACTGCAATAATTTGGTTGTTATATTATAACTGATATTTTTAAATATGTAGGCAAAATTAGTAGTTCTAAGCGCGAAGTAATCAATATTTATCTGTTGAAAAGCATAGGGTGGCATATAACGTTATTGAACTAAGAAGAGAGTCTATTCTCTCAAAGCGATAAGAAGAGTTAGACTGAAATGACTAAGCTTTATGAGCGTATTTTTAATAATTGTTTAAATCCAAGTATGAAATAGAATAGATTGTTGAAAAGCTACAATTAAATTAGCTTTTTTAACGGCAATGAAAACAGTGGTGGCTAAAAGTAAGAACAAACTAGAGTGCATACTAAAACAGATTTAGTAAATTAATATTATATTTTTGGGCAGAGAATTAATTTTAGCACAACTTTGCATATTTAGTAAGTCTTTTAGACATTAATTTAAACACAGTGGCGGCAAAATAGATAAGCACAGGTATATAACTGCTACGTTTACATATAATATACTATATATATTAGAATTAAAACCATCGGGAACACTCTTAAGAGTTAACTGTTCGGATTTTTTTTGTTATAATTTATATATATATTTTAATTATACCTAAAACTATTTTTATTTTTTATTTTCTAAAGCGTTCACAAGAATAGAAAATGTTTTGGAATTATTTTTGTTTATATATGTTTTGTTTTAGTTATTTTTATGAAAGTAGCTAAGTAAAAAATTACAAAAAAATTTTCGTACAAGAAAAAATTTAATCTCAATATAATTTATTAGTTAATATTTAACTTAAAATTAGACAAGAAAATATTTGAAAGAGTTTCTAATAATCAAAATATTAACTTTCAACCCCAAAAAAATGACTAAATGCTAATTCCAAAAAAAAAAAAAACGATTTCGAATAATATTAGTTTGGTAAGAAAAATTTTATATTGAAAAGTATTGAAAATTACATGAGTCAAATGCAAACTTTTAGTTTTTTACATATATTATGTTATTATATATTTTTTAATATTTGTTTAATTCTTTTTTTTGATTTTCCTTAAAAAATTTTTGTTAAATATTTTTTAATTTTTATTTAAACTATTTTTTACTTTATTTTTGAAATATTTATTTAATTTTTTTTTTCGTTACCACACTTTATTTTGCCACCACTGTGCTTTCTTGACTAATCTCAAGTAATTTTTAAATTGCTCCAGCGCAACAACTATGAAATTTAAAGTTGCACCATCGTTTTTAGGTGGCTTCGATTCGCTGTGGCATGTTTTTATAGCATTTTGACAAAAAACCATTGTACTTTGGCTGCTGCATTTCCTTGATTGCCATTTCGAATGCCAAAAATCGCATCAACGCTATTTTCATCATTTGTTTCCGATAATCTTATTACTAAACACACACACACATACAAGAGATATATGTGTGGACGCCAATAAAATCACATATTCACAATGTGTCCATGTGTTGGTGCACATAAGATGGCTGCTAACACACGCACATAGCCTTCGGGGCTCAATGAATGGCGAGCAATACACAGGCGTTTGCTAAGTCATGCATGTCGGTGGGATTTTTGACCTCCTTTGGCACTGAAATCGACATTGTGTAACAATTCACGTCGCCAGTATTTTATGTTTGTTGCTGTTGTTGCTTTAATGATACTTGCCGCTACGCTGAAGTTTTTCTTGCTGTTTTTGCAATTGTCGTGTGCTTGTTGTAATTGTTGTGGTTGCTTTAATGATACTCACTGCTACAGTAAAGATTTTTGTTGTTTTTGTTATTGTTGTTGTTGTTTTCATTCCTGTCCTTCTTGCTGTTGGTATGGGATTCTTTCCCGACGCTCAACGCCAGAACACGTCGCCAGAACACATCGCCAGCAGCTACAGCAAGTACTTTTGCAGCTGACATTGTTGTTGGTGGCGCTTTCTTTTTTTTTTGTGTTTTGGATATTATTGTCGCCATAGCCAGGAACATGATCGTGTTTTCAGCTGGTCTATCAGTTAGCCAACAACAACAACAGACGTAGAAGTAAGTTGACGCTCCTTGGCTTCTGCAGGATGCGAAAAGACATGCGAAAGTTGGGCACATTCTAACAGCAACAACAACAACCGGTTAAAACAATGGCATAACTGGCATGTCGTCAATGGCACGAAATGGCATCGTATGTCTCCCAAGTGAGTCAACAATATGGCCAAAAACTAATCGGGTCTACAGGTATGTATGTATCTGTGTGTGTGTGTGTGTGTGTTTGTAAGCAGTGCAATGCAATGCTGTATGCACGTAAGTTTATATGTGCAACTGTCATTGGTGTCCACAAGCAACCCTCTCCACCCGCTCGCTCTTCTAGCTGTGCAGCTTTGTGGGATTTGGGTTTGCGTTTGCAACATTTTCGTTGCCAAGCCACATGTCGGAAGTAGCCGAATGTAATCCAATCACGGAAATTGATTATTGGTAGAACGGAGTCACCAATGCGTCCACCCACATTCACACCACGTCTCGCATTTGTGTGCCAGTGTGATCGTTGGCATTTTGTTTTGTGTGCACACTATCTTCAGTTTGTGGCGCCGCCGGTTGGACAATTCTTGATATTGGCAATGTTGGCGGCTACGTTCGACGTTTCACGTTCGATGGCGATGACAATAAGTTCGTAACGTACAGTTAAGTGTTCAATAAAAGCATTCAACAGCATGTGCCTCTCGCAATAAGAATATAACTAAAATACTACTCTGCAAAATTTGGAGAGAACAGCATTGAAATATTCGGATTCCTTAGTTCGAATATGGTTGATACCGAAATTGATAATATTTTAACGTCAAAATGTGAGAGAGCGCACTATAACTGAAATTCCAGCCGAAATGCTGCAACGAAAATTGTTGAAGTTATGCAAATGGGGCCGTGGTGGCCATTTGGTTCATATCATAAATGGCATTAAATTATCTGCATAATTGAACCTATTTTGACAATTTTGATTTGAGTATTTTGTTTTATTTTAACATCACGTCGTTCTTGTTGGTAACCTCTTTATATACAGATATATATCCAGAAAAGTTTAGATATATATCGCAGACACCCTCGAAATAAAGTCGCTATGCTGCCCTGTTGGAATCTTAAAGTAAATCTTAGCTGAAACATGGCCGTGACTCACAAAATCACTAAGAAAGTCTTCTTCTACCTTGACAAGCTACACACGCTAAACTCTTATATAAGTGGTGTTGCTATTTTTCGAACCTCAACTGTATAATAAAGTGTATTGACACAGAGTAGAGTTGAGGTTATGTTAAGTAGTGCAGCGCATGAAAATGTTTAGCAAGTATGTGTGTCAACTCGGATTCATTGATTCCCATGAGCTGGCCATCCGTCTGCTATTACACTGCCTGCCGCTCGTGCGGTGTGTCTGATTTGAATTTTTAGTAGCTCAAGTTACCCAACTAAATGCAAAGTTGAAGACAATCCACACACACACACACACACACACATGTGTTGCAAGTATTTATGCAAAAGGGATATCGCCAAAAAACAAAAACAATGAAACTTGGCCAAGTTGTCGTCTGTGCCATTGATTTTGCGCTGCTCGCTGAGCATGTAGGCAACGGAATTTAGGCGCAACTCCACTCAAGTATTTCCACTTGTTTTTGTTGGTGTACGAAGTATATATTTTGGCTTCGACAAATTCGTTTGGTGTAACATATTTAAAAATGAATTTGTTAGTTTGCCGCATTTTCTTCGGGAACGCTCAGGGCGCTTCTCTTTTCCATGTTGTTGTTGTTGTTGTTTTTGTTGTTGTTTTAGTGAAACTTGTAAAGTGGCCAAATTTAAAACCCATTTAAAGTGCGTTCGCTCGTATATTCATTGCTCGATGTAAATTTCATTTGGTTGGCAATTTTAATGTGCACTACTTGGCTGTCGCTTCTCAGGAATTCATTGCTTCAGAAATATGCTCACATTCCTTCTGCGCAGCACTCAATAGTGAGTAAATAGAAAAAAATGTTGTCGTAAAAGTAGTAAATTTAGTTGTTGGCATTTATATGGTCCACATTTTTTTGCATTTCGTTAGTTGTGTATGCATATATAGCGATATTTTTAGTTCAACCTCAGACGTTGTTGTGCTTAAGGCCCGTTATAAATAGTATGTAAGTTGTTTAAGACTAACGGTAATACATTTAGATATTCCCCATGCCAAAAATGTTTCATTGAGATAGTTTTTCTCTGGTTTTACAGTAAGTTAGCTTTAAGCAACACCGCCTATGGGTGGAAGGTAGGTTAGGTTATCCATCTGACATAACAAAAGACCTGTAGGTCTATATATGACGAGACAGCCAGCTAGTATTGTCGAACCTTACCTAAAGTGTTGCCTACATTTAGGCGAAATAACAACTTACGACTATAGCATATAGCTGTAATACAAATCGACCGCTCAAAATCAAGTTCTTTTATAGAAACTGTTTTATTTATAAAGAGTATTTTAGCTACGAAACAAGCGAATGAAAGATTTTTTTTTGTTCTCTCTCCCTTCCTCGCTTTATTTCTCTACTTTAAAAATATATTTCGAGCTTTTTGAAATTGTGCTCAACCCTTCAGTTAGGAAATTCCATATCCGCCATTGAATGCAACAAGCG